TGGGGGGTGGGGAGTTGGGGAGAGATAGCAAGGGGAGAGATGCCAGATGTAGGTGACGGGGAGGAAGGCGGCAAATCACACTGCCATGTGTGTACCTATGCACCAATCTTGCATGTTCTTCACATGTACCCCAAAACCTAAAATGCAACAAAATAAATGGGAAAAAAAATAATAAAATATAAAAAAAAAATTTAAAAAAATTATGAATCTCATTAATAGAAGCCATAACTATATATTCTACAAGTACTGAAATGATAACAGGGTAATAATATGAGCTACTTTATGCCAATAAATTCAACAAATGAGATTAAATGGATAAATTCCTTGAAAGACACTATCAAAAATGATATAAATCTTTGAAAAAATGAAATCTATTAACGAAATTAAACTGCTAAGTAAAAACTTTCCAATAAATGTCATTTTGAATTACAAAAGGCAGTTCTTGTTTGTACTAATATAGTTGCCTCCATTTCCCTTGTATCAGATTACAGTATCCCAGATCTGTTTTATATCTTTCATTTACCATTTGTTTATTTTATTTGAGACAAGGTTGCTCTGTTCCTTAGGCTGGAGTGCACTGGTGTGATAATGGCTCACTGAAGCCTCAACATCTGGGCTGAAGTCATCCTCCCACCTTTGCCTCCTGAGTAGCTGGGAAGACAGGCATGTGCCACCACACCTGGCTAACTTTTTTTTTTTTTTTTTTTTTTTTTTTTTTTTTTGTAGGGACAGAGTCTCACTATGTTGCCCAGGCTCATCTCAAACTCCTGGGCTCAACTGATCCTCCCACCTTGGCCTCCCAAAGTGCTGGGATTACAGGCATCAGCATACCATCTGGTTGTTTTGCTTTTGACTGATTACTATTTAGATCAGAGATGGCAGAGCCACCGTAATTCACCCACAGGAGCCATTACAACCAATCACAAATATTTTTCCTACTAAAGATCAGAAACACTCCCAAGATTCTTCTAAACATTTCAAGCAATCAAGTGGAGTTACATGTAAAGATAAAACCTATTAGCACTCCTTGTTTACATCCTTAATAATACTTTCACTATTCAACTCATTTTTAAATCATTATTTTTCCCAAATAGCTTTGGAAAATGTTTCCAATCGTATGCTCTCCTTCATTATTTAAATCTTACACAAATCAGTACTCTTTTATAAGTAAAGTAACCATTTTAAATGACCTAACTACCTTTTCCTGAAATTGTGCTGCCCACACAATACTAAACTCTTCCTGGTTAATCCCTTCTATTCTGATTTTACCCAGTTTTCTTGCCTATCATCCCTAACTTTTTAACCTTTAGAGTTTAATTGTAGGTAATTTTCTAACTCCTTACCTGTTGCTTTTACACCTCAGTTAACTTCTACCTCTTCTACACCCAAAATTTTCTTTCATAGCAACCTAATTCCTACTTCCCTATATTCTAAAATACACATTATCATTCCCTTCTCCATTCCAATATTTCAGCACTTTTCACTCTGGGTGTTAAATTTCTTGAGAATAAAGTTTTCTACGTGCTTATCATATAAACGTATTATAAATCTATACTAAATAAATGAAAAGTCTTATTGAGTTGCAATTTGACACAATAAATACAACCAGTTACTAAATATCCACGAATGCGCCTAAAACTCGCATAATTTCATTATTTACCAATTCTTCCACAGTAAAACTAGCTTCACCTTAGAGCATTAAAAATTTTGTAAGAAATATTTTGTAAGATTGGTAATGTTTTGATTAGCAAGATCATAAACATTTTCCACATGTTTGTCATTGCAAGTGTGCAGTATTTCAAATATTTCACTTTTTTTTTTTAAGAATATCTCTTTAGGTAAACCTGGGAATTTAAGTCCCTAAATAATACCATTACCATGGTAATGTGTACTCTGAGTTTCAAACAATTAAAATACAAGTGAACATAGGGTTGTGTGGTAAAACATTGTAACAAAATTTACTATTGTAACCATTCTTAAGGTTAAAATTCAGTGACATTAAATACATTCACATTATTGGGCAAACATCACCACTATCCATAACCAGAAATTTTCTGTCATACCAAACTGAAACTCTACACCCATTAATCAACAGCTCCAAATCCCCCCCTCCTCTAGCCCCTGGTAATCTACTTTCTGTTACTATGAATTTGACTATTCTAGGTACCTCATATAAGTGGAATCATACAATATTTATATGATTTGGAATCATATAACATTTGTCCTTTATGTCTGGTTTATTTCACTTAACTTTGTATTTTCTAAGTTTAGCTATGATGCAGCAAGTTCAAATTTTAACTGCTTCCTTAAGTAATATTCCATTTTCTTTATATACCACATTTTGTTTATTCATTCATCCACTGAAGAACATGTTGGTTGTTTCCTTTTGGACATTGTGAATAATGCTGCTATAAACACCTGTGTACCAATAATCATTTGATACTTTGCTTTCAATTCTTTTGAGTATATACCCAGAGGTAGAATAACTGGATCATGTGGTAATTCTATTTAATTTTTGAAGAACCACTAAAACATTTTCCACAGTAGCTGACCAATATTAAATCCTACAGCAATGCAGAAGTGTTGTAATTTTTCCATATCTTTGCCAACACTGTTTTTTTAATAAATAGCCCTTCTAATGGGTATGAAACAGTAACTCATTATTGGTTTTGATTTGCATTTTTCTAAGGACTAGTAATGTAGAGTATCTTTTCGTATCCTAATTGGCCACCTGTATATCTTCTTTGGAGAATGTTTATTTAACATTTTTGTCCATTTTTTAATTGGGTTGTTTAGGTTTTATTGTTGAGTTTGGGGAGTCCTTTATGTATTCTGAATATTAACCCCTTATCAGACATATGATTTAGAAATATTTTCCTATTCTGTGGGATTCCTTTTCACTCTCTTGATAGTATCCTTGGATGCACAAAACTTCTACATTTTAATGATGTCTAATTTTTTATTTTTCTTTTCTTACCTGTGTTTTTGGTATAATATCCAAGAAATCACTACCAAATTCAATGTCTTGAAACTACTTCCCTATGTTTTTTTCTAAGAGTTATACAAATTTAGCTCTTACATTCAGGTCTTTTATCAATACAGCTGAACTTTTAACCATTATCAGAACAGAAATAGAGTGCACCTTTGCAACTAAGTTAAAATTATCAGTCCTATGGTTGATTTTCTCCAAATTATGAAAAGCATTTGCTCTTAAGAATAAAAAACCAATATTTCACTCCTACCAGTATGTAAAAATAAAAAGTAATGCAGATTTAAAATAGGAAAATATAATGCTATTACTTCTTACGAAACCACAACATCACATTGGGACACTGGCTTCTGCCACTACCATCACAAGGTTCAGGAAGGAAATGTGTTACCATGCAAAAAGCAAACAAACAGTCATGAAATGTGAGTTCTCTTCCTGTTTCTCTGCTCATTCCCTTTAATTTAAAAGAAAAGAATGAAATGTGATGATCTCAAATGTCCCTATCAATTCTAAAATCTATTTTAAATAGACACCTAAATAAAAATGTCAGGATTTCCCTGAAGGTGTTGTCTAGGGAATTAACCAAGAGATTTGTTTTATTTTCTTTCATTCATTCAGCCACTCAATCGCTAAGTATTTAATAAGCTTCCACTATGTTCCAGGCACGGTTCTAAGCACTAGGGATAACATACAAAGACATAAAAATTCCCTGACCTCAAGGAACTTACATCTCAGTAGAAAAGACATGAAATTTTTAACTGGACGAAAAATATATATTAGTATGAATGTAACTGTTATATCTGAGAAACAGTAAGATGGGTTGTGTGGCTGGGATGGTACATGAACAAGCAAGAAAGGTAGGAGATAGATCTAAAACATAACTAAGGCTACATAATGTAGGATATTAAAGATATTATGAGGACTCTGATTTATACTCTGATTGGGAAAGAATGCCACTAAAATGTTTTGAGCAAAGATATGATAAAGGATGGTTTAATTTTTAAAATAAAACATGGCTATTGCTTACAAAATACTACATGTGATGAGTATTTTTTAAATTAATAGATACATATGTAAAGTTTACCATGTGCTAAGGACTAGTCTAAGAACTTACAGATATTTAATTATTTAAATTATTATAGCTACTATATGAGGTATCCTGCAGCACTGGAAACTGACACATAGAGGTTAAAAAACTTATTAATAGTCACATAACTAGAATATTGTAAAACTGACATTTTAACCTAAGCAGCCTGGCTCCCTTGTTTATGATGCTCTGCTGAATTTTAAAAGAAGCAGAGAGGCCAGGCACAATGGCTCAAACCTATAATCTCAGCACACTGGGAGGCCCAGGCAGGAGGATTACTTGAGGGCAGGAGTAGACCAGCCTGGGCAATACAGTAAGACCTTGTCTCTACAAAAAAATAAATATAAAAAATAATTAGCTGGGTATGGTGGAACATGCCTGTAGTTCCAGTTACTGGGGAGGCTAAGATGAGAGAGGATCACTTAGCCCAGAAGTTTGAAGATACACTGAGTTGTCATCATGCCACTGTACTCCAATCTGGACAACAGAATGAGACCCTATTTAAAAAAGAAGTAGTAGAAATATTTACAAGTAGAAACTTCACAGCGTGCTGATTGAGTAAATGCAGAATATAAAGGGAAGAATGATGCTAAAGAATCTTAACAACAAACTGAGATGAAAAACACAGCAAAGATGAATGTTTGGTAGAAGAAATCCAAGTATTTTTCCCTTTTTTTTTTTGAGATGGAGTTTTGTTCTTGTTGCATGGCTGGAGTGCAATAGCACAATCTCAGAGGTTGCTCACCGCAACGTCCACCTACTGGGTTCAAGTGATTCTCCTCCCTCAGCCTCCAGAGTAGCTGGGATTATAGGTATATGCCACCACACCTGGCTAATTTTGTATTTTTAGTAGAGAGAGGGTTTCTCCATGTTGGTCAGGCTGGTTTTGAACTCCCAACCTCAGATGATCCACCTGCCTTGGCCTCCCAAAGTGCTGGGATTACAGGTGTGAGCCACCGTGCCCGGCCATCCAAGTATTTTTCTTAAACCATTAAACATACAAATGAAGACATAAAGAGGCCAGCCGGCTATAACAGTCGAGATCAGATAAGCAGTACAGACTAAAGATAAAACATTGTCATCAGCATGTAAATGATATTTAAAGTTAATTTGAAAGGATGACCTAAAGAAAGATTATAGATGCAGATGTGCTTTATAGACAGCCTTGATAAAGATTCTGGGCCTAGTAAAGACCAGGGAAATTATTTCCGTAAACAATTATTATGCAAGCACTGAGATTTCCATTCGAAAATCTAAAGTTCTATTTCTAAAAGTATACAGAGAAACGTACTGATTAAAATACAGTTTTGTCACAAACGTGTATGTTCCCAGAAAAATTCCACAAAACTGTACAGAGCATACTGGGGTGCAGAAGGACGACAACAGATATAAGGTTAAGGCCAGGCTTTAATGTCAAAATAAAAGGCTTTATAACACAGGTTTTTAATGTCAAATACAAAATTCTTCCCGACACTGAGCAGGAAATAATGTGGTTATTTTAATAATGATATAAATAAGACTGCAGAGCATTTGGAGCAAAAGTAGCAGGTTTCACAAAACCTTTACTACCAAGGCCATATCCCAAAATGTCCGGGTAATATCCACAATGCTATTAGTGACACTGCCTGTTAATAAGATTGTCAGTGATCCAGACAGTCCTGATCCTTAGAACTGACAGTGCTAAGTGTGAAAAGGAACTCCAGGGATAATGAATGCTAAAAGGGGTTTTACCCAGGGCCTATAACCAAGCCTCAGAATAGATAAACTGATAACTAAAGACATGTTCTATTTCTTTTTATTACTATCCTGGGCATTGTGGTCCAGCACTGCAATTCAATTACAAGCTACATCTTAAAACAAAAATTCAGTAACAACTTCAGTTCCTGGTAAATCTCTGAACATCTTTTTTTACTTCATTCATAGGTACAAAAGACAAGTTTCTTCCTAATCTATTTAAGTAGATGTAGGCATCAAAAAGAAAGGTTTAACCTATTTTAATTAAAATTATATAGATAGGTTCAAAATTAACAACAAAAAAATAACCAAATGTACACACAAATCAAAAAAAGGTTGGAGTTGTTAAATTAACAACATAAAAAAACAGACTTAAGAACAAAAACCTTACAAGATAAAATGTTGAACATTTCTTCTTCAAAGATATAACAATCCTAAATGAGTATGCACCCAACAACAGAGATTCAAAATACATAAAGCTAATACTGACTGAAGTGAAAGGATAAACAAACAAACCCACATTTAAGGAAGAGGAGCTCAACATACTTTTCTCAAGTAATTAGTAGAACAAGTTCATGGAAAAACAACAAGAATATCTAAAAGCTGATAACACTATCAGATAATGACCCAAAAGACATTCATAGAACACTCCACTATACAACAACAAAATATACATTCAAGTGTGCATGTAAATTCTCCAAGATAGACCATATTCAAGGTCATAAAACAAATCTTAACATCTAGAAGAGAACTGAAATCTTAAAAAGTATGTTCTCTAACCATAAAAAAACTAGAATCACCATAAGGAAGGTACCTGTGAAATCCCCCAAATCAGAAATTTTAAAATATACATCTAAGCAATTCATGGGTCAAGGCAGACGTCTTAAGGGGATTTAGAAATATTTTTAACTAAATGAAAATGTAAATACAATGTATCAAAATTTGTGAGATACACTTAATGCAGTGCCAAGAGGAAAACTTATAGCATCAATTGCACATATTAGAAAAGAAAGGTCTTAAATCAATAAACCTTCTCTCTTAAGAAACTACAAAGAAGCAAACCTAAAGTAAGCAGAAGGAAAGATATAAGTGAGACAGAAATCAATGATATTGAAAACACGGTAAAATCAATAAAACTAGAAACTTTGAAACTGATAATCTTCCAGCCAGTCCAAGCACAAAGTACAAGAACTATCTCAATGGACCCCACAGATGCTAACAGGATAATAAAGGAACACCATAAGCAAATCTCTGATAATAGCTTTGACAAATAAGAAATAATTGATGATTTCCTTGAAGCACACAAACTACCTAAAATCACTGAAGTAGAGGTAGACAACTGGAATAGTCCTGCATTTTTCAGGAAAGAGTTAAGCAGCCCTTCTGCTATCTTTTGGAGTGCCTGACTGCAGAGCTGGTCTTCAGCTGACATGTAAAAACCTGGCCTTTTGGATGTTCCCCATGTACAAGGTTACTCTGCCTGTTTGGGCACAAAACCCTGATGTACCAGCTTATCTAGGTCTTTTGTAGAAACACTGTGATTTATTAGAAACACCTTTTCTGTTTCTTGGAGTCAAGAATTTTACTAATTATGGCTAGTCATTTGGGTACCATGTGCCTATGTGACTAATCCTAAATAAAAAACTCTTAAGTCTTAAGGGGGTTTTCTAGATAGAAACACTGTACATGCATTACTATAGTTCATTGCTAGAGGAAGTGCTCTTTTACCACTGTCAATAGGAAGAACTCTGGAAGCTTAAATCTGGATGCCCCAGGTTGTACTTGATTCTTTTTCAATTTTTTTATAGACATGGAAAGCCAATTCTGACTTTCATACAAAAAACAGTAAGGAAACCAGAAGAGCCAAAAACACTTTGAAAAAGAAGAACAAAGAGAACTCAGTCTAAGACATTTTCTGACGTATTACAAAGCTATAGTCATCAAGACAGTGTGGTAATGAAGAAAGGTTAGACTCAAAAATCAATGAAACAGAACAGAAGGTGCAGAAATAAACCAAAAGAAACATAGTCAATTAACTGTTCACAAGGATACAGAATAATTCAGTGGAGAAATGACAGACTTGTCAACAAATAGTGCTAGAATAACTGGACACTCATATGCAGAAAAAAGCAAATACTGACCCATACTTTACAACTTATACAAATTTAATTCAAAATGAATCACAGACTTAAATGTAAAACAAAAAAACTATACACAAAACTATGAATCACTTAGAGGAAAAACTGAAAAAAATCTTTGTGACCTTTGTTTATGCACAGAGTTCTAGATATACTACCAAAGTTATGATATAGAAAAGGAAAAAATGACTAATTGAATTTCATAAAAATTAAAAGCTTTTGCTCTGCAAAAGATGCTGCTGGAAGAATGAAAAGCCACATACTTCCATGAGATAAAATATTTCAAATTATATATGAGACAAAGGACTTCTAAAGGCCTGGTATCCAGAACCTATTTTTTAAAACCCACAAAACAAAACAAAAAAAAAGAAAAGAAAAATTATCCAGTAAACAAAAAAGAAAAATGATGAACAGATACTTCACGAAGGAAGGTTTACAGATAGCAAATAAGCCATCAACATCATCAATCACTAGAAATGCAAAATAAAGCCATAGTATGATATATCTTTATCCCTATCAGAACGGCTAAATCAAAAAAAGATTAAAAAACAAAAAACAAAACAAAAAAAAAACTGGCAAGGCCAAGTGCCAGTGAGAATGTAGAAGAATTAGAACTCTCATACATTACTGATGGCAATGCAAAATACAAAAGCCACTCTGGAAAATAATTTGGCAGTTTCTAATGAAATTAAGTATACATATACCATGCGACCTGGCTGTTCTAGGCATTTACCACTTAGAAACCATGCAATATTCTTTCTAAACATTTTTAGCAACAAAAGGAGTTGAAGAATAGCAGTTTTCTTTCCCAGGTATAAGAATGTTTCATTTAAATTGTCTGCTGATTAATATTCATATATTAACCTTCCCTCATTTTCTGATTATTTCATTCTTTAGAGATTTACTTAGTATTATTCTTTTATTTTGCTTATCGTTTTTCTGTATTGCATTTTATTGTCTATCATGCAGATAAAACTGTTAGCAAATATTACATGCTCTAACTTAAGAAGGAAATGGTATATCTAGTTAAATGACATTTACTTATGCTCTGTACTAAAGAGGCAAATTACTAGTCTTTTTATTTTAGTAAAAATACTAAAGATATACAAAACAGACACAAAAAAAGGGAACGGAAGACAGCAGACAAAAAATGTTAATACCATTTTGGAAGCTAGAAAGCACACTCGATGAAGTAGAAGCCTAAGCCCAGCGAGATTAACTCAGCAACAATCAAGAACCCGTATGCCACGGAACTCTGATGAAGTTTGGGACTTGAAGGCAGGGTTCCATGGTGGGAGTGACAACCAGAACATATCAGGAAGTGTTAAAGAAAACAGAACTCCAAATCCCTTTTCCAACTTCATTCAAGTCATGCCAGTATTCTTTCACCACTATTGCAAAACACTGAAGTTTTCATCTTTTGGGAGATT